TAAACCTCACTCGCAGAAATTTAATGTTTCCTCCAATTTGCGATGGTATAAATGCTATCTGTCTTATTTGCAGAAATTTTTATATTTTATATTTGTGCCGTCGAATCTGATTTATAATTTTTAATATTAAAATATTCATATAAATGTAACATCACTGATATTACTATTTGATATTTTAGAGAAAATTCGTTGATGTAAAACTTTCGGACAATCGCCGTCAAAATTATAGTTCTTTCATAAAAACAGGAAAATCAAATAATTCTTATGTTAAGAATAAGGGTAATTTTAATATCACTTATATAATTGTTTGATTACTAATATAATACTCGATTTTTGGTAAATACTAAATAATTCTCTATTTAATACTTTAAAATTTTAAAGTTCGAAAACAAATTTATAGTAAAAACGGACATTTGTCCACAATTTAAAGAATCTAAGGAATACAACCAATTAACGTTGGCCGCTACTTACATCTCAGTGTTCTCAAAAGCATTCAAACACTCATTTGAGAATATAAAAATTTGTAGATTGTGCTATGTAAAAATTTGAGAACCTAAAAATTAAAATTTATGTTCTTGAGAACAAAAAAATTTTTTTTTTTTACTATGTGTTTACAATACCCGGAGTCTTGTTGGAGAACTTCATTTTTGAAACTGATTTATATTCATATTCACGATTTTCAGGGATACTGTAAACAGTGACCAATGGTAGATTGATTTTTTTAATCATCTGATTATCCGAAAATTCGCATCTAAAAAAAAAACTATGTCTACTTAAAGTTTTTTTTTGTATGCTATCAAAGTTTCAATACTTTTTTATTTATCTGGCTTAATAAATTTAGAAAACCTTATAATTCTTGTCGTTGGTTCTGGCGGTCGTGTGCATGCCATCGCCTGGAAATTGTCTCAATCAACTAAAGTTGAACATATATTCGTAGTCCCAGGTAATTCGTCTGTTCAGGTTAGCAGACTGTCTCGAATGACCAATAAACTAATCACTATTCTAGTCATAGCAAATTTATTATATGGGTCATGACTATCTATCAAAGTTATTATAACTGGGTCATTTGAGTCGATCTGTTCAGAACACTAATTCAAATTAATTAATACCTTTTTAATATTTTTATAAATGCACTTCATTTAGATAATGGAGGTACTGAAAAAGGGATTGATAAAGTATCTAATGTTAATATTGATGTAGTGACTTTGACAATTTGACAAAGTTTGTGCTGACAAATAATGTAAGTTGATATTAGACAACTGCTTTTAATGTTTTCTGAACTTAATACGAACTAATTAATATGTACTTTTTATATAGGTTATTTTGGTCGTACCTGGCCCCGAGTAACCTCTTGTAGAAGACATTGAACTAACGTTTAGGAAGAGTACGTTTAATATGATTTTTTTGGTAAATTTTAATAGTTTCATTTTAAATTATTATACTTTTCATTATATAGTTGGGATTCATTGTTTTGGCCCATCTCCAAAAGCTGTTATCATGAAAGGTTCCAAACCATTTTCCAAAAATTTCATGAAAAAGCATAATATTCCTACTGCCGATTATGAGGTTATCCATTTTATTATATTTTTCATGTTTTATATTTTACGTAATTTGTTTTTAAATAATTTCTAAAATTTATTTTGCTTGTAGAATTTTCTGATTACGAAAAGGCCAAAGATTTTTTAAAATTGGTTACTTATAATGTAGTAATAAAGGTACGAATATGCTTAAAATGCTTGCTCATAGAATTTTAATTAACTTTCCATGTTCACCATAGTTTATTTATGGTTATCAAGGCTTCAGGTCTAGCTAGAGACAAAGGCGTCCTAATCCATACTAGTAAACAAGAAGCTTTAGATGCATTGAAAATAATAATGGTTGATAAAGTATTTGGATCTGCTGGTAAGATTTACTTTTTTTGTATAATATGAAATTTAACATTATTTATTTCAATATATAAAAATTTTTATCACTAGGCAACGAAGTTGTTATTGAAGAATTTCTTGAAGGTCAAGGATCGAATGTCTTGACTTTTTCGAATGGTTACACTCTTGTGTCTCTTCCTCTTGCTAAAGATCACAAGCGCATGTTTGATGGTGATCAGGTGGACCAACCATTGTTTTATATCATGTTATTTCATTTTATTTTATACTATTATTTATTTAAATTTACTTCGCGTTTAGAGACCTAATATTGGTTGAATGGGTTGTTATTATCCGACTCCAATTGCAACGCCAGAACTTAACGCAAAGCTAAAGAATACAATTATTAAACCTACTATTGATTCATGAGACGTGATGGTAAACATACTATTTCTTGTTTATAATGAAATAATACTATCAAAACCTAAGTTTAACCACTATATTTCAGGCTTCCCATTTGTTGGGATGCTTTTTACTGGACTAATGATAACTGCTTCTAGTCCAAAG